TCAGATCTTCGACTGTTTGGGTGTAGGAGCCTCACACAGTCCGTTGCCGACCCATGCTTTAGAGCGTGTGTATCGATAAGGACATCCATTCACTACACTGTTACCTGAGTTCCCGTTCGCTCCAACTTTCGTAGTAAAATGTTGTGATGTGTCAGTCACATGACTAACCACAACTGCAATATGAACCGGAGCTTGCTATGTGCGAATGAAGAACGGAAAGTACAATGCTCACAAACCTCACCAGTTGCCCACGAGTAAGAAATCCGGAAGTGAGTTATCCTTGATAGGTACCTCAGCAAGTGGGGTCAAAACCCATGATTTGTATTATTATGTTTTAACGAAGAGCAACGTTCGTCTCTATTCCGCAACGAGATATGTGCCCTCATGTTCCTCCATCAATTTGCATTGAAGATCGGGGACTAGATCAAGAAATCGTCAAGAGGAACATCGTGTAGCTTTCTCTCGTCCTTGCGGAATGAGCAAGAGGCAGGAGTGAAGGGATGTTGCCTTGGGAAAGTTGGAGTAGATGGGAGGAAGTGAGGACGCGAGCTTAGGTGTGAAATACTGAGACAAAGTTGCGGCTAAGGTGCAACTATAATTGCGGTCAAATTGTGTCTGTTGCTCATAGCGAGTGTGATGATGAGAGCACGTAGTAGAGTAAGTAGGTGGCAAGCTAGTGCGCATTAGACGTGATAAATTAGTGAAAGCAATTAAAGCTACGAATAAAGCGTAGACAAAGAATAACATGGGGAAGAATAAAGATGACAGGTCAGTCAAATTGACAAATGTGTGGGAAATAATATGGAACGCTGAGGAAAAATGAAGGCCTAATAAAAGTGGGCTGGCGAATGAAAAAGCGCTTGTAAGTCATACAATGATTGGGCACTGGCGTGGCAGCGGATTATTTTGGATGGATTTCTGGCGAATGCAGAAAGTATTAGCCACGCTCACAGTAGGGATTCTGCACTCACGCGTGTGTGATGGCTTTGGTCCACTGTTCTGTGTTCGTCTGCACCAACAATGCGCTCCCACCCCATGTCTGTGTGCGGCTGTAGAGGAATGCTACAAAGTTGACAAGGATGGTGGTGTAGTAAATATTCAAGGGGTGGAAGCAATCCATTATCCTTCCCAACCAATGTCCTTTTGTTCTTTCTCATTTGTTTGAAGGCCATAATAAATCGCCCATTCAAATCTCACTGCTCCTTGTTGCCTCACTTTACCATCACTAAACGCATGACATGCAGCCGTCTGTCCAGCATTGCAGGCTGCTCTTATTCTCTTCCATAACTCCGCTTGTGCTTAGTCCACACCCACCACACGTCATACGAGGTGAGTAGGCAGTCTTACACTCCAAACTTTAACAAACGCTCGTGCCTTTCTCCCATGCTATGCAAGTACTGGTTGGACAAACCGGATTACGCGTCCGTAATCACCCTTTCAAATACTTTAACCCTAACAGTGTGCTAAGCGCGGGTGATGAACTTTCGTCACACCGCCAATTCCAATTTTGAAAGCGTGTGAGTGGCTATGGAGGTCGTGTGCATTATTCAGCTAATTCGATGGTTGATATTGGAAATAACATTCCGAAGATCACGTCAATGTATCTACAGTGTTTGGACTGCTGTCAGAATCCAGAGGTCAAGGCACATAAATGAGTTTGATAAGATCTTTGGCGCACCAAAGAGTCTACTTGGTGAATGCAATGGAAAGTGGTGTTGGTGGGCTGGAGGCAATGAGGAAGC